GGCACCTGCCCTGGCAGCTCTGGGATTATGCTGCATGCAGCATGGGTCCCATGCTGGCAGAAGCAGCTGCTAGATCAGATATGTTGTGGGGGAGGGGGAGAAAGGGAAGGAGAATGGCATTGTACCCTGTGCTTATTTGTTCAGACAGCAGGGTTTCATGGGCTGGATTCAGTCCGGAGACCATATGTTTGAAACCCCTGGTTTAGAACCTCTTGAATTGCTATGGCCATTTTGCGCTTTTGGGTTTATGAGGATTCCCATGAAGTCAGTGTCAGCAGATTTAATTGCAGGAGTTCAATGTAAGTGCTTTGGAGTGGTAACCCCATCTTTCATTTATATTTTTGGTGCCTAGCACACTTTGGGGTCACAACACCTGTTAAACCCCTACCCAGAATCACTACAATCAGTGAGAGCTTTGTCACTGGCTTCAGTTGATGCAATATCAGGTCCTATTTGAATAGGAATCTTTTCTTTGATTTCATAATGCCCTTAACAGATCAATGGTAATAATTCTTCTTAATCCAAATGAAATTGAAGGCATAAAAACTTTTGAAAAAAGTTATATTTCAATAGTGTAATGTATTGTCTATGGACATCTCATGACATGACAGGCTTAATTTACTTTAAAAAATTCTGCAGTATTTGTATATTATGAATATGCAGAGTTTTGAGAGGCAAGAGTAAAATGCGGAATCAGTATTGTCCTCATAAGATCCAGTTGGCTCCAAAAAGCTTTCCTTGATGGATTCCATAAGTGTTTCTGTGTTACAGAAAGTACTAAAACTGTTTTTTTTAATTGACAAAAAATCAGAAATATGAGATTCAAAAATAAATAGAAAAAAATAGAGAAAATACTTGTGACATTTCTCCCCCGCTGTTTTGGGTCCAGCTATGAAACTGATCAGCACTTCAGTTTTGAAATTTAAAATATTAGAAAAAAAAATCTCTCCTCACAATTCCCACACCTAATTTGTTGAACAGGTTCTAAGAAAATGATAGGCACGCCTGCCTGAATATATCAAACAAAGCACAAATGTCTATTTTTTTCTCCTCTGATATTATGACATATCTCATGGGTTTTAGCTCCTACCTGTCCTTCAACTAGAAAGTTCTTACTTAACATTTTTGAACTTGTGAAGGGGATTATTTGAAATTCATTGAAGGGCCATCCTTTTCTTTTACATTAGTTTCAATGATTCCTCCTAAAAGAAGTGTGAGGTTAGAAGCAAACCTAAGTAAGGTGCAACAATGCTTTAAAGAGAAGAGAGTGAATATTTATGCCATCAATTTAAATAATGAAAGCCAGACTCACCTTGCCTGTATTTAGTAGTAGCCATGAACATAACTGGTAAGCCTATGGCAGAAGAAAGAATCCAGTTGCATACATTGACAATTTTGGCATTTCTGGGAGTGCGAAAATCAAGAGCCTTGACTGGGTGGCAAACAGCTATGTAGCGATCCACACTCATGGTGCAGAGTGTAAAGATACTTGTGAACATATTGTAGTAGTCTATAGATATAACGATCTTACAAAGAATTGTACCAAAAGGCCATGTTCCCATCAAATAATTCACACTCTGGAATGGCAGAGTGCTTGTTGCTAGGGCATCTGCCAAGGCAAGGTTGAAAATATAGATATTGGTGGCAGTCTTCATTTTGGTGTATCTAGAAAAATCAGCAAAGCGGGTGAGTGACCACAATATTAAATAAAACCACATCAGTGACTTACATATAAGAAGCTTCCATAAAACAACAATCTTAGTATTGGTATCCAGGTTGTAGCCATATTAGCCTAGAGGCAAAAGGAATCAAAATTCGTGGAAGAGGTGAAGTCTTTTATTAGACCAATAAGATATCTGCAAACAAATTATTTCATTTATTTGCAAGCTTTCAGGTGCACATCTCCTTCACTAGGCATAGGAGAGAGCAGAGATTGTAAAAGTTCTTCTAGGTGGAAATGGAAATTCTCATTTCCACCTAGGAGAACTTTTATAATCTCTGCTCTCTCCTATGCCTGATGAAGGGTGATGTGCACCCTTCATCAGGCCTTGATCCTGAAAGCTTGCAAATAAATAAAATAATTTGTTTGCAAATATCTTGTTGGTCTAAAAAAAGATATCACCTCTTTCATGAGTTTTTTTTTCCAGTCTTAGTATAGCCAATTTTTATGGTTTCTTCTTTTTTTTTTAAAGTCTAACTGCTGACAAATACACAGACTTCTACTGTAATACCTTTTACACAACTCTATGAAACATTAATTAAAGGATCTTAAGATAAAATAAAGCACTGATGTAACTCATGAAAGTTATACAGTCTTTGTTTTTAGCATCGAGATCATGGGGGAGCTTTTTTGGGTAAATTAATGCAAGTCATGTTCACGTGGGAGAAGATATATATATATATATAGGTGTTAGCCATTGTCTTGGTCCCCTTGGGCATGTCTACATGGGATGTTTATTGTGCTGTTTAGTAATTAGCTGCATAGTAAATGTCTTGGTGTCTATATGTGTGCTTCTATTAGGGCTCACAAAACTAATAAACTCTGCAGCAGGGTAGAACCTGTAAAAACAAGTACTACCCTGCTGCAGTTTTATCATGTGTATCAGCACAGGTGTAGATGCTGTCCTGGCTGGCTGGGACACAGGCAGGCAGCTCCCATGCTGAAGCACCCTTGTGCCTCAGCAAGCCCCTCCAGAGCACATGGAGCCCAACTGCAGTAGCCCTGGGCAGGTTGACCCCTGGGTCCCCTGCCAGCCATGGCTACTCTGACCAGACTCCATGTGCTACTCATAAATAAACTCTGGAGCAAATTGCTCCAGCATTTTTTGCTCCTGGGTTCATGTTCAAATGGCACACTTGGGGGCAAAAAACTCTGGCCAGTAAGCTCTGGAGTTTATTCCTGCACATTAATTGCACATGTAGACATGCCCATCTAAAGATATTTCTAAAAAAATAGGAAAAAATGTGCATAAGCATCATTATGGCTCCTATAGGACTATAAAAAAAAACTGTATTCCATGAAGCAATCAGTCATACCTAGTTTTGGGATGACAAGTATGGATTTGTGGTAGATAAAACAAAAACCTAATTCATGTGTTATAGAGTTGCAACAATGTAGTTTCCTGGGAATAAATGCTTAAAAAGATATTATTTATTCTCAATCCAAAATGTTTACAAATCAATATTTGTTTCAAGCATAATAATTGTAGAAAAATTATATTTAAAATATAAGCAATTTGTCATAAAATAATAGATGTCATAACTGCAGGAAAATTTATGAAGATCTCATATTCTAAACTGGTATGTTGAGTTGGGTGACATGTATCTTGAGCAAATATCTTTTAAATTGACCTAGAAGATAGATAGATGATATTCATAATATCTGGACTAACTTTTAAAAATGCCAATTTTCTCTCAGTTACAGTTGATCAGGTAGTACTGCTTGTGTCTTAATTTAAGTTATTGCCACTCTGGGTGGTTCGGTGATTTTCCCTTAGTTTCATCAACCTTAGTGAACATCCTTTTTCAGTTTAGTAGTACTGTTGAGATCCATAAGTTTACAGGGGCATTCAGCCTGTTTGCAGGAATAAAATGAATCTTTCAAACAAAGTAATAAGTTTCTCACTTTTCTGTTCTGGGGTCCTGATTCCTACTTAAGTTGCTAGGGAGAGGTCTCATTTACCTCTTGGTGGGTCAGATGACTTGCTTTTTTGATTAAACTCCCTTGTGCTTCTGCAAAGTAGTAAAATATCTGACTAAATAACAATGTCCTTAGAAATAAGGATTGCTTTGTAAACTGAACAAATAATTTAAAAAGTTCTTCAGAAGGACTAAGAAAGAAAGAAAGAAAGGGTGTAAAAGAAAATAGCTTCCTAGGTTGAAATATTGGAGATCTCTGGCCTTGATCTGTTCACCACAGCAGCTGGGTTGTAAAGAATAGAAAGTAGAATTGTTTAGTGAAAGCATATTTTAGGAATATAGATATGGTCTGAAGAAACTTAGCTTCCTTATTGAGAATATGTAAATAGATTTGCTATAGATATCTGAAGCAGTTGTAATCTCTTCATTTTATAACACTGTAGATGTAGCTATAATCACCTTTAACTTTAATTTAATATTTTAAAATAGTTTTCTGATAGATCTAAGCTATTGCTCTTTTGGGAAATTATAGTTCAGAATTGTGGCACTAAATTATAAATCTAAGCAAGAATACATTCTGAGACAAAAAGTACTCAGGATCCTTCTTTTAGTGGCAGCTTCCATTCTGCCTGAATAGGGAGGTGAACACTTCTTTTACTCAACAAATATAAATGCTTTCAGAAACAGATGAATATTCCACAAGGACACAGAGTTCTTCCCAATGAAAATTATTGAGAAGAGGGCTATTGCAGTTTTTGGGAACTTTATACGGTGTGAGAGATTCATAAGAAGACGCAGTTGTCCAAACAATGGATTATGGAGAAGAGAAAATTTTGGGAAGTTTGTCAGAGAAATTTGCTGATAAATAAAATAAAAAAGGAAATACACTTTTAATAAGACTTTAAGAATATCCACAATGAAATTCTTGAATCCTGAATAAAATCACAAAACTATAGGAGAAATAAATTGATCCTCTGTAGATGTGGAGTCCAGTCCTGGATTTCCTCTAAGGATATGTCTGCACTGCAGCTAGAAGGTGTGACGGAGCACAGATAGGTCCAGAAATGCTTACTTTCATCTAACTAGTTTGGGTTACAATAGCACTGACGAAGTAGTAGGACTATTCAATCCCAGCAAAAACACTAGCATGTCTACACAAGACGTTTACTGCAGAATAGACTAATTAGCTCCACAGTAAACATCTCACGTCTACATGTGTGGGCCTGTTAGGCCATAGGAAACTAATTAACTCTGCAGCAGGGTAGTACTTGTAATATCTTGCTGTGGAGTGTTTTACTCTGCACATGTAGACGCTGATGCGGCTCACTGGGGCATGAGGGTGCTTTGGTGCATAGGCTGCTTGCTGGCTAGCCTCATACTGGAGCACCCTCGTGCCCCAGGCAGGCCTTCCACAGCATGTTGATATGTGTTGGAGCAGCCCTGGGCTGGCAAGCTGAACTTTGGAGGACCCTGCCAGCCAGAGCTGCTCTAACCCAGCTCAGTATGCTGTAGTTCTGGGTGCATGTGTAAATGTGGAGCCTGGGAGCAAGAAACTTTGTCATGATATTGCCCCAGAGTTTATTGCTGTGTGCTAGCACATGTAGACATTTCCACTGGGTACTTATTTGGGTGGCTAACTTGTGCTGGCCTCCACACTACTAGATTTCAACTGCTATTATTATACAAGCTAGCTTCTTGCATACCTCCGTACTGCAAAGCAGGATGCATCAACAGTGTCTTAAAAAAAACCTATATAAATTACAATGATTTTTTTTCAAATACACAAATGCATGGTAAGGCAGAGGAGAGAATACATATCATATTCTAAAAAAATATTATCCAGAAGTTTTCATTCACTATATTAGCAGAGAATGGGAAGGCTAAAACTCTAAAAATCAAAATAAATAAACAAAAACAAATACATACTATACAGTGAGACTGCCATAAACCTGAGCCCACGTAAGTGTCAGGCAGTTTCATTTTTGCTGCTGCTACTTTGTTCATTGCCAACCCTAAAATTTTTTGGCTGTGAATTATTTCATTTCATGGACAATTTAAACTAGTAATTGAGTATTTTGCTTGATGAGCTATATAACCTTCAGATTTCAAACATATCTGTCTAAAATATAAAGGAGCCTGAGCCTTCACACTTATGCACAATATCTGACTCATAACAATGGCTCGATCCAAAGATGATTGAAATCAATTTGATGAGTTTAATTTTTTTCTAGGGGTTTTGGATGAAGTGCTGAAAGTGCAATGTTTGCATTTTTAAAGATGATATACACGGTTTATTTCTAAAAGATAAATATTATTGAACACAAGCATATGCTTAAGCAAATAGATTATCAGTGTATCCAGGATTCATATCTTTGTACAAATAAATAGATTAGTTAAATAATTTGTTTAAAAGACTTTTGCTTTGGGTAATAATTACATACAGACTTTTACCTGAATGGCTATTATTTTAGCCAGCATTATTTTATTATTTTCAGTTTGAGCCCTTAACTCTATGTAAGTGGTCATTGTTTTAACTATTTTTCTCCTGCATAGCTAGCACTATATTTACTGCTGATATATATATATATAATCAGTATTATCATTTTTAATGAAAAATGGAGAAAAATGCCATCCTTCCTGGTATCCATTGCAAATGCATTTAAATATCTGCAGGTGAAATGCATTCTAGTTCAGTTGCAAAAGACTGGCTGTAGGTGTTGTGATTTTCTATATGCAATTTTGCCTTCCTTTATAGTGGGGGGCATGGCCCTCTTCCTTGGATCTCTCAAATATGTTTTAACAACCCCTGCAGCAGCGGATGCTGACAGCTCTCATTTGCCTTCTTTATCTGCGTCAGGTTAGGATACTTTCAGTGTCTTTGGCAATATGTCTTCTAGTTCTGCAACAGGATTGATTATGTCATTTTATGAATAGGTTAGAGTAGGGGTAGACAATCCATGGCATGCATGCCAGAGCGTGACACGCAAAGGCATTTTGTCTGGTACTTGCGCCTTAGGGAAGGGGCC